CCAAAACCCATCATTTGCACAAGCAGGCTAAAGAGACCAAAGCCTCTCAAAGGGACGCCTTAAGGCGCCACAAGGCCCTACAAAAAGAAATTGATAAGCGCACCAGGTAAGCCCTCCCAGTGCCTCAGGCTTTACCATCCTCCAGTCCTTCTACCTCTGCTCACCCCCCTCCCCCCAGATCTTCCCCTCTCACCCAGGCGCAGCTTGCCCTCGCAAGGTCAACATGCTCGGACTCCCGGAACGCCAGCTAGAAGGGCGCCAGAAGCCACCTTCACCCCCACAGCTCCTGGCCTTCGTCAAGAGGGTTCCCTCATTGAGGAGGTTCCGGAGAGACCAAGGACCTGGATGGAGTTGGCCATCTGCCAAGGGATCACAGATGGAATCCAGCAAGTAACCAGGTCTAGCCATTATCCGGTGGCTCCTGACCTCGAGTTTTAGTCATTAAGATCCCTGCCCAGGTCAGACCACCACCAGGTTTACTTGCAGAGGGAGACCCCCTTCCAAGGCCGGGAGGAGGATGAGGGAGAAATGGGCCAGTTCGTGGAGGCAGATGAACTCGAAATGGGGTCCATGCAGGATAGCGAGCCCCTATCAGAGGCAGACCCCTTGGAAGGGGAAATGTCTGAGGGCGAGGGGCTTATCCCTGACCAGCCCGCCTCTGTGGGTTTATTCAGACCACACCTATTCAAATCTCTGTTATTCAAGGCCAAGAACATCTCAGGCCTAAGTACCCAATCACCAGGCGACACCCCCGCAACCTCAACGGAAGGTCCAGTGGACCTAATCTTTAACCAGCCTGTAGTTGAGGCTGAGGTTATACTGGTCCCACCCATTTTCTCTGATTTAGTGCAAAAGCAGCTGGCCTCTACAGCAGTACACCTGGCCCCGTCTGGTCACGATAAAAAATTCTTTAACTTAGACTCAGGATTTTCAAAGTTGATGAATACCCCAGAGGTAGACGAGCCCATAGTGGGCTTAGCATCCTCCTTAACTCCCACTGAGGCGTTAGAGGCCCTAAAGCCTGAGGAAAAGCGGGCCGAGTTAGCCCTGCGCAGGGCACACCAGTCAGACGCTTGGGCCATCAGATTGGCTATGGCCACATCTTTTTTCATGAGCATCCATTCGTTGGCTTCGCCAACTGCAGTAACACGTACCCACGACTAACATCAGGGTATACCAGGACATCACGAAGATTACGGCTGCTGCCGAGTTTTCTGCTGATGCCACTTACCACTCAGTCAAGTTTTCCTCTCGGGCAATCACATCACATGTCACTGCCTGCCGCTTACTTTGGCTGAGACACTGGCAGCCAGATTTTAAAAACAAAGCAAACCTGGCCTCTTCCCCCCTTGTGGGAGATAAGCTGTTTGGTTCCTCCCTGGACCCGTTACTTATGGAGACCCGCAACAAGAAAAAGTTTCTTCCTTCCCTTATACGAAAATCAGACTTCAGAACCCCCCAGCCCTTTTGGAGAGGCTCCTTTCGGCCCTTCTATCAGGCCCCTTTCTCCCCCAGGTATCAGAGGCCTCCTTCCTTCAGGTCAGCTCAACCCCAGGATAGAGCTGATTCGGGAGACAGGAGTAGAAGGGGCAGTCAATACAAGAGGCCTTTTCGAGGGACAGGAAACAGGCCCTTCCAATGACCAAGATAGGTCAAGGGAGACTCTCCCCATTGGTGGTCGCCTTAAGTTGTTTGCGAGTCAATGGGACTCTTCTACCTCTGACGCTCGGGTCAGAGACACTGTTAGATTTGATCTTGCCCTTGAGTTTCACCCCCCCCCCAAATTTCTTTGTCATGCCCCCCTCCAGAGACCTGATCAAGCGTAATCTAATGGATTCCGCGATCCAACACCTCCTAAACATAAAAGCCATCCAACCAGTTCTGTATGAACAAAGAGGGCGGGGTTTTTACTCTCATCTTTTTGTTGTTCCAAAACACTCAGGGGGGTGGAGAGCAATTTTGGATTTAAAAAGGCTTAACTGCTTTCTAATTTATCGTAAATTCAAAATGCATATCCTACAATCGATATTGCTGGGCATCAGTCATGGGGATGTGCTCACGTCCATTGACTTGACGGAGGCGTATCTAATACCGCTATTCGGCCTTCCCATTTTAAGTTTCTAAGGTTCTGTTAAACAATAACCACTTTGAATACGTGGCCCTTCCCTTCGGATTAGCCTCTGTGCCCAGAACTTTTACCAAGGTCCTCGCAGCACTCCCTGCCCTTTCAGTGTTACCTCTACGACATCTTAATCTTGTCCCCCTCTAATCCCCAAGCAGCGAGGGACACCCAGGCTACTTTAGCTTCTCTCCAAGAGCATGGTTTTCTCATAAATTGGAAAAAGAGTCAATTATCCCCATTGACTCGAATTACTCATTTGGGGGCAGTTATCGACACATTGGAAGACAAAGTCTATCTGTCTTCAGATAGACTGCTTAGCATCCAAAAATCCGTTCGGGAGATTAGGCGCTCTAGAAGGGTGTCCTTACTAGATCTCTCTAAACTATTAGGAAAAATGATATCATGCATTTCTATTATTCCCTGGACCTGTCTACACTCTAGATCCCTCCAGTGGTTCCTGCTTCCGTACCAGAGATCCGGCAGAAGCAACTCCAAACGCATGGTCAGGGTACCTCCCAAGGTCCTCATGTCCCTACTTTGGTGGGCCAAACCGGTCATCAACAAGGGCTGCCTCTTCAAGGAGCTTCAAAGGATTAATATCACCACAGATGCCAGCTTAGTCGGATGGGGCTCCCACCTTCAGTCACTCACATCCCAGGGCAGATGGTCCGCAATAGAACAGTCGTGCAGCATAAACTGGCTGGAGCTCCACGCTGTTTTCCTTGCCCTCCGCAACTTCCTTCCCCAGGTACGAGGTCAACACATCCTCATCCTAACAGACAATGTGACCGCCAAAGCTCACATAAACAAACAAGGGGGCACACAATCCATACAATTGATGAGAGAAGCCGAGCGTCTGTGTCGCTGGGCGGAGAACAATCTTCTTTCTATCAAGGCAGACCACATTTCCGGCCTGTCAAACACACAAGCAGATTGGCTAAGCAGGGCCACCATAGACCAGTCAGAGTGGCAACTCCACCCATCGCTGTTCAAAGAAGCAGCAAGGATATTTGGACAACCCATGGTGGACCTATTTGCCTCCCCTCTCAATGCTCAGATCCCCAGATTTTTCTCAAGATACCCATCCCACGGGGCGGAGAATTACAACGCTCTCTGCTGCCCATGGCCAAGGGGGCTCTTGTATGCATTCCCCCCACTAGCACTGGTGCCCAGGGTTATCCAGAAATTGTTACAAGAGAAAGCGGAATTACTCCTAGTGGCACCTCACTGGCCCAGACAGCCGTGGTTTGCAGACCTTCGCAGCCTCTCAGTAGCCCTTCCTTGGAGGATTCCACCAGACAAGATCTCACTATCTCAGGGGTCCCTCCTTCACCCGGACCCTCAATGGTTTCAATTGACCGTCTGGAGATTGAGCGGAGCAGATTGAAGAGTGAGAAGCTCTCCAACAAAGTCATTAGCACCATTCTAGCTGCCAGGTGACCCTCAACCATCTGTATTTACAATGCCACATGGTCCGTTTTCTGCAGATGGTGTAGTAAATCTCAAATAGACCCTACTTCACCTTCTGTAGCTCAGATTTTAGAATTTCTGCAAGAGGGACTTGATAGGGGGCTGTCCCCTAATACCCTGAAGAGGCAGGTTGCAGCGCTAACATCACTTATTTCCTGCCAAGATTTCAGCTGCCTCTCTCACCCTCGCATACGCTCCTTCCTTAGCGGGGCCACCAATCTGAGCCCCCCGGCAGTACACCGCTACCCCACCTAGGACCTTAACAAGGTCCTCCTGTCTCTCACCAAAGAACTGTTCGAGACATTGAGGGAGTCAAGTCTCCAATTTTTGACATATAAGGTAGTTTTCCTGGTGGCCATCCCCTCCGCTCGTCGCATATCGGAAATCACAGCCTTGTCTGTCAGACAAGATCCCTGCGTTTTTCATGCCGATCGGGTGATTCTCCGTCCCGATCCCTCATTTATGCCTAAGGTCAACTCGGCTTTCCATAGAACACAGGAGCTCATCCTTCCAAACTTCTGTCCCAGGCCTTCACGAGAGGGAAAGGCAATGGCACAAGCTTGATGTTAGGCGCGCTCTGCGAATCTACATCAAGCGCACTCAGTCCTTCAGAAAATAGGAAGCCTTATTTGTTTCCTTTCAGCCCAAGACACAGTCAAAAGGTGTCTCCATCCATCATAGGCCATTGGATAAGAGCAACAATAGCTAGATCATATCAGGCTCAAGCCCTGCAGGTGCCTAGAGGCATAACTGCTCACTCAACTAGGAGTACGGCGACCTCGGCGGCTTGGGCCACTCAGACACCAATAACTGAAATCTGCCGGGCAGTGACTTGGGCCTCCCCATCACCCTTCATTAGACACTGCAAAATTGATGTGTTTGCCTCTGTGGAGGCCTCATTTGGCAGACGGGTTCTGCAACAGGTTCTTAGGAACCCTGAGGAGATTCCGAACCAGACGGAGTCCCTCCAGTAGGACAGGCCAAGCTTTGGTATGTCCCACTACTGGATGCTCTGAGCAGCTCATAGAAGGGGCGTTGGTACTTACCTGATATGCCCCGTTCTCTTTGAGCTGCGAAGAGCATCCAGCCCCACCCTTTTCTTCCGTCTGGTGGGCTCTTGTTTCGGCAAATGAACTTTTTTAGGTAGTAGGGATGAGAGCACTTATTCCTCTCATCTTCGCAAAACTGGGGAACGCTACGGAGGAATCACGTGGAGGAGGAGGAGCGTTCCTCAATTCAAGCTCAGCATAACAATGCAGAGGCTGAAGCACCTCCCACTACTGGATGCTCTTTGCAGCTCAAAGAGAACGGGTGTATCAGGTAAGTACCAACGCCCCTTCTATCTGATTATAGGTATCATCTTTATACTTGTGCAAGCATTCAAATTTATAAGACTTTTTTTTTACAGGTATACATTTTGAAAACAACTGGAACAATCTACTATTCTTCTGGATTGTATTGCTTTACAGAATAAAATGTTTTTCTGATTGAGAGTTTATCTAATGACCATGAATCTGCTTCTTGGATATAATTTCTATGTTCTGGAATACTGAAGCTCTTCAATATTACTGTCTATGTGGAAGCCAGCCTTTGTCATACTTAATTAAAGAGATTAGATTCTGCTAGCAATGAGTTCTCAAAACCATTCAGGTAAGATTTTTAAAATATCAATCTTTTTCTAAAACAAAAAAACTGTGGAAAAAGTACATGTCCTGAGAACTAATTAGGTGATATCTATTCTCTGGATTTTAAATATCTGGAATGAAATAAGGGATAAAAGCTTATAACAGCCAGAATGGTTTATTAGAATAAAGAGTATAGAGCAGTGTTACAGGATAGTATGAACCAAGAGTGAAAAACAGATGTAGGGAATTCTGATTACTTGCAAGTCTAAGCTGGGCATTTGCCAATTGACAAGGCACGTTTCTTAGCTAAAGAAAGGCACTAATGCTGCTAAAGCAAGTATTTATTACAAATATGCAATATTAATTGTTAAAATAAAAAGTGAAACATTCTTCCTTTTCAATACTTCGATAGAATAGGGAGTTTGAATATCAAAATTGTTCCGTACTTTTACACATTTAAAAGCATCGGTGATAAGATACAAACTTAAGGAACATCAGAAAAGAGGCTTTTGGTTATTGAGCAGAATTATCCAGTACTTCTAAAATACACAAAGCCCTCTATTTCAACCTCTGTCGCTGCAGTCATTGGGGCATAGACTTGGATAACGGTGATGTTGAGCGCCTTGGCATGAATTCTAATGGTCATAACTCAGTCACTGATAGTTGAGAAGCTTTCCAGTACTCCAGCAGGTTTACTGCTTATAATAAAGACTATATGTTTTCCTGATACCATGCCCTGGATAATAGACTGTGAAATCCTCTGACTGGAAAAAGCTATTATCTAAACACAGTAGCTCACTGACACCAAGGAGATCAATTTCCAACCTGATCATCTCTTGTTTAACAATATCTAATTTACCCTAATTCATTTCTCTGATATTCCATGTGACTATCCAATGTTTTTCTGTACAACACAGACATTTGCTTTTGCCACTGGCTGCCTCTGCAAGTAGAATTCCTGTTGTCCTGTCTTTGGGTACTCCTCTGACATGTTTGAGACTCATTTCATAACATTTTCTTGGGGATTTTTGTGGAGTGGTTCACCTGATCTTTCCCCAATCCCGTAACTCACTTTTTGACAGCTGCCCAGGGACGCCAACTGCCATGGTCCTTGCTAACTCAGGCAACATCCAGTATGGGATTCTTTTTTTGTTGGCTCATCATGTTAATGGGTTGTGGATACTCTTAGTCTGGCATTTCAGTTGAGACCTTATGTAGAAGATGACCAGGCTGAGGAAGAGTCAAGCGTATTGTGAGTCATGAGTCTCTTCGTGCCCACAAGAATCTAAGTCCAGCCCACCTTGAATTCCATTGACTTTTATCTACCACAAATTAGCTTTGACTGTTAGTGGTTTAGATTCTTGTAGAGAGCTTAAACTTGCAATAAATCTTCATACCATTTGAACTGCCTGAATTTCCTGATTTCCCTGGCACTTGACAACCTGTCTTGATTATGTGACCCTTATGGTATATTTTCTGGTGGTATACTTCCAGAATAACTCACAATCTTAACAGAACACAAAAGTCCCTTCCCCACAATTATCCACATGGAGGGGCTTACCCATATACAAATTTATAAAAATCACTTAAAGCCACTTCATTTTATGGAGGCTGAAACTGACAAAGTGCCAAAACTGAAGCCAGCTAATGCTGCCAAATCAATCAGGAATCAAGATCCCCCTCAAAGATATGGAAATTTCCTAAATCACAATGTTGCTCTCCAATGCCATCCCCACCCCCAATAAAACTCACCAAGGAAGAGATTAGACATTTTGGATAAACATACCCTGCAGAGTGTCTTCACATGTCTCCCTGACATGTACACCTCAATTTATATTTCTAATAACATCTCACGATCAAGGTGTATTGTTACTATAAATACTCATAGCATTCTGACTGTGTAGTCTTCTTTTTGATTGCTGTACTGCACCATATACTGTTGAAATAAACTCTACTCTGCTCCATGCAACTTGTCCTGTGTGTTCTTTAAAATTACCCAGCCTAGATTCAAACCCAAGATTTTTTTCCCCAACAAGCTTGAAACACACAAAACCAACATTGATTTTTTTACAAGAGACATTCATAAAACAAGAAAATGTCAACATATTAAAAGAGAAAAATTAGGTCAAGAATATATGCTACCTTGAAAAAAAAAAGAAAAGAAAAGAGTAATTATATATTGCAAATCACTTTCCTGGAAAGTTTTGAAGTAATTAAAGAATTAAAGGATTCGAATCTTAAAAATAAGAAAACAAAATTTTAATCACATGCATCCATATATGCCCCATACAGAGATAAGAACAATTTTGGCAGACTTCTGGTGGCATTTCCACTGTGGATGGATCGAATTCCATGATTGTACGTGGCTTCTATCCGTGCTCTCCCTTTTGGAGGCTCAGAACGGAGCCAGAATCACCCTGGAAAAGGGGGAGACCGCCAGTCGGGTTGATCGGAGCCGCATCTCCCCTCCCTGGCTAGGTATACTCCCTCCGAAGACGGGCTGTAACAGTGGTCTAAAATGGTCACCCTGAAGATGGAAAGCGAACCAGGACACAAGATTGTGCTGTAGCGGTGAAGTAGTGGACAGTGTGGAGACCAGGCAAACCAGGCACAATATATGGATATTAAGGTACCCCGGAATTAAGATATAAAGAAATTTTTAAGAAAGACTAAAGCAGTGACCAGAGAGAGAGAAAAGAAAGGTGGAAACAAATGAAGCTTTGAACTTTGAAAAGAGCTAAATTGAAAAGGAGGAAGCTAGAAGAAAATATTTGCTTAAATTGGATAAATATATGATTTTGACACCAAACAGACATAATTAAATGCTGAACTTGAATGTGTTAAAAAATTTACTGAATTATTGAAATTTAAAAGCCCTAAATAGGGAAAAGAAAGTTTAAAGAAAGGGTATAACTTGGACATCAGAGTGCGCCACCTGATGGTAAAGAAAAAATTTCAATGACTTGAAAAAGTCTTGGTTCTTTTAAAACTGGAACTTGATACAAAATAAGAGGAACTTTGTTACAATAACAAAGAAACCCTGAAAAGTGAAAATAAAGATTAAAAAAAAGTGTAAAGAAACTACCCTGGAATTACCTGGTGACTTTGGAAAAAATTAAGGATCTAATAGAAGGAACTTAGAAATAGAAACTTATGGACATTGGATTATTTGGTGACCTTGGAAAAAACTTAAAGAGGAACTAACAGAAATTGATTTTTGGAAATAAACACCAAAGACGCTGGTTGAATTTAATTACTGGATAATTGGATTAGACTTAAATATTAAAGAAAGGGATAAGTAAAAATTAAAAGAAGAGCACAAAAATGGCAGAACTTTGTTTGGAAATAAAATTGGAAAAAGAAATATAAAGGAAATGTTACATGAAAGAATGGAATTGTGCAGTATTGTTTTAAATAAATTAGAAATGGTGATGTTGGAGAACAAAGAAGAACAAAGAGAAGCAGAAGGGGAGGAGTTGACCAAAGAAGAAGCCAGCTTTAACTAACAAATGGAGCAGCAAACATTAAAAACGGGGGGGGGGGGGGGGGAATGAAAAATAAAATCTGGAGGTTTGAGGGGATAACTAAAGAGGGAATTGTTTGAAAAGTCAAACAAAGAAAAAGGAAACACTAGAAAAGGGGATTACAGAAGAAAGCTCAAGAGAGGGAGGGGGATAAAAAATGGAGTAAGAAAGAAATGGAGGGGGAAAAAAATAAAGGAAAAGAGGGAATAAGAGAAAGGACCAAAAAATAAAGGGATATAGAAAGCAAATAAAAATGAAAAGAAATTATACAGTTAGGAGACTTAGAGATAATGAGTAAATGAAGAAACGGAAAGGAGATTCTGCAAGGTAATATATTGTGATATATAAAAGTGAAAATTTTAAAAGTGAAAAGATTGGATCTGATATTTCCTTTTTAATTGTTTCTTTTCCCCTCAAGAATTACTGTTAAATCGTATATAAATAATTGGAATAAATGTGAAAATGGAAAGTTATGATAAGAATATGAATTATACTTAATAAAATGAAGAATACAGTTAAAATGAATTATGGTAATAAAAAGATTAATATCAGTTCCTACAATTAATTGAATAGATTAATATATTTGAAATAAATGATTTTATATATATATATATGTATGTATGTATGTATGTATGTATATGTATATATATATGTATGTATGTATGTGTATGTATTAAATCATACGTTTTCTTAAGTTTTCGCAGGTACTTCCATGTATGGCATTCAGCTTTGTTCGGGTATTTTCCCACATCATTGTACAGAAGCCTGATGATGGCAGATGAGATTCTGCCGAAACGTTGCTACAACTTTAAAAGCACAACTATAATGACGTGGAAAAATACCCGAACAAAGCTGAATACCGCATACATACATACATACATATACATACATACATACATAGATATGATATGATATGATATGTAGTAATTAGGAGATTATATAATTAGAAAGTGATAAAAAGTGATTATACTATGGTAAATTTTTATTATGGATCAAAGGGGAGTAAGCTGAGTGATATATAAGACAAAGGGGCGACACGCTCAAATTGCTAATTAAATTTTTGGAGTTATTAGAATTAAGATGAAACTTACTGAATAATAAATTAAAGTATATGATAAAATAACAAATGTGACCGATAAAAGTATAAAAAGTTTAATGAATATAGAATAAGAAATAAGAATGTTAGATATTATAAAATATGACATGAGAATATTTAAAGAAAAATGAAATAAGTTAAGATATGAATTGAAAATGGATAAAATAAGGGTGAAGAATGTAACAATATTTGAGAATATTTATAGGAAAATGGGAAAAGTAATGAGATGATATGAAATTGAATGTAAAAGATTAATATGTAATTAAGGTCATATTTGTATTGGAATGTGAAAACCTGGAACCACATTGTTCACCAAAAGAGATGTTTTTAAAATATAAAAATAAAATTATTACAAAAAAAGAGATAAGAACAATTTTAAATATATTTTTCACTTCCTGAATAGAT